GTGTGTTTTATGCTTACCCATTCCATATAGGCTATTCTCTTCCTCTTCCTCATTTGGTGGAGGAGTTCTGCCACTACTACTGTATCTGCCCGACATAACTCTCTCCCTACCTTTACAAGATTTTCCTTATGTTGGCAAAGTTTGTGGAGCTTGTCGGCTATGAAGTCTCTATCCGCCATCTTCTGCATCTTTTCGGGCTGAGCTTTCATAAAGGCACGATGATTCACCTTCGCCACCGCGGAACTAAAGAGTTGGTGGCGAGGATGGATGATAGGATGAACCTCCGATTTTGGACCCATTATTTCTTCGTTAAAACCAGCACGTGGTGGCAAACCCTAGCGACTTTCCTGAACAATGGAATTTGCTCGTAAGTATCATTATTTGGAGTACGTTCTTCTCTTCTCTTCGTGATTTATAACTTGTTACGGCATTTCCCCTTTGCAGCTGAGAGACATCCCCCATCTTTGGTCGCCGATATTAGTGATTGGGTGGCCCGCATTTAGCCTACACCGTAGGCATTCGTGACTGGGCGTCCTTTAACAAGAGATTCGGGCTCAAGCCCTCGACCGGTAAGTCGGGTTTAGCCCTTATATCTATTTCGCTTTTGCTGTGGTGCATGTCTTTTTGTCGTTTTACGGTTTTCCTTTGATGCTAGGTCGAAAAACTTCTAAGAAGATGAAGGCACCTATCCCCGCATTTTGTCAGGCGATTGCTTCGGCTGGGATGCAGTTTGTGTTGGCCAAGTCTATGCGAAATATTTCTTCCCAGACTCTAGTTTTAAGCGAGCCTAATTGTTAGACGGCCACTCCATCAGTGGAGATCCCAGCTTGCCCGTTGGTTCACTTAGTGGATGAATCTTCCCATGGAGAGGAGGAAACGATGCCATTAAAGAGGCAACGAGTGGAGGCCATGGTCACACACGAACGGGCCATGATCGTGGATATGTAGGCGATGTGTACTTCAGCCATGGGGATTGCTCCCCCACTGGAGATTGTCGTGGAAGCTAGGTCATTAAAGACGGCGGAGGCAACTACGGAAATGGAAATACCGGGGGCAGTCGAGGTTGGCTCATCGTCTGCTGGTGGTAGAGGAAAAACGATCGTCGTGGAGGATGACGGGTCTGGTTCTGATACTGACCCCGAGGAGGTAAGGACTTTCGAGGAGAGATTTACTCGAGTGGAGGTGAGGACCGAGGGGTCCACTCGAAATATTGTCATCCCCGTAGATTTTTACTTGTTGGTCAACTCGGAGAGCGTGGTTCCAGCTTTGGCCTATCTATGCGTGGAGCCCGAGAACAGGACCTTGCAGACGTTGAAGGATGCAGACTAGTCGTTAGGCATTTCTGAAATGGACCTGCAAGTAAGTCCCCTTTTAGCGTTTCTATTTCTTCTTCCTTTTACGTTATTTGTCTTCGTTGAGCCTTCTTTATCTATTTATCAGACCCTCGTCTTGGAAATTGAGAGCGCCCGTCAGGAGGAGAAGAGGACGAGACTCTACAAGAAGATAGAGTCAAAATACAGAGAGTATCGTACCAAGCACAAAGCCCTAGTCCGTATGCTTGGTGAGGACGCGTTGTTCCCAACCCTCCATGACGATCTAAGGCAGAAAAATGAGTAGTTGAAGGCGAAGGATGACGAGTTGAAGGAGAAAGATGACGAGCTCATGAGGATTATTGGCAGGTGCAGTGAGCTTGAAGAGACGTTAAGGACCAAGAACGATGAGTTCGAGGTGAGCAAGGGGGTCATGGCTGGGTGCGTCGACCTCCAAGCTTAATTGATGTCTTTACAGGCCGAGCTTGAGCAGAGCGCAACTGTAGTTAATGGCTTAAGGGATGAGCTGGCTGCCAAAGCTACGGAGTTGGATCGAGTTGAGAGAGATAGGTCGACTGCTGTGGCGGAGGCGACAACGTTAGCGGGCACCCTCCGCGTCTTCAGATCAAAGCGGGCTAGTGAGGTAGAGACCTTTGCTCTTAAAAAGGCGAGGCTCGAAGAGTGGATAGGCAGACTGGAAGGATATGTTCAGGATTTGAACGAGCAGATAGTTGTCCTTAAGGCCGAGAACGCGCAACAGCAGGCTCAACCGTTTACCTATCATGCTTCCACTTATCCCAATGTCCCACAAGACTTGTACGAGAAGTGGGTCCATGCTGAGGCTCATCTTGACATATACAAGGGTTTGATGGTGGCCGAGAAAACCTTTGAAGTGGAGTTTGAGGATGCTCGTGTTAAGGCACGTGCAGCTCGTGCCGTTTGAGGCTGTGATCCCGGCACGCCCGAGATGGACGATAACGAAGAAGATTTGGACGAGATTGAGCCAGATACTTGGTATGAAGACGAGTACTTAAATGGCGAGGGTGGAGATGGTGCTGCTGGGCCAGGTGGTGAAGGTGGCGATGGCGCAAGCGGAGATGATGCAGTGTGATTTTCTTGTTCTTAGTTTTTTTTTTGCTCTTTTCTCTTTTTCTTTTTTGGAGGGGGGGTCTTTTTGGCCCTTTGTAAGATATTATCTATTTTGGAATGAAATGACTATTGTCTTTTTGCTGTATGTTTTTGGCTCTTTTCGTCTTTCTTCGTATGCTTTTTACTTTGTAAGAGTTCCTGACTTAGTTGATGCGACCGAGGTTGAATGTCAATTAATTTGAGCGAGGTCAAATGTTGGTCGATTCGAACAAGGTCGAATGTTAATAAATTCTAACAAAGTGGAATGTTAATGAATTCGAATGGAGTCAAATGTGAGTCGATTCGAGTGAGGTTGAATGTGAATGTAAGTAATTCGAATGAGGTCGAATGTGAATAACTTCGAGCGAGGTTGAATGTTAATAAATTCGAGCGAAGTCAAATGTAAATAAATTTGAGCGAGGTCGAATGTTAATAAATTCGAGAGAGGTCGGATGTGAGTCGATTCGAGCGAGGTCAAATATGAGTCAATTCGAGCGAGATCGAATGTTTGACTCCTGGCGTGATATAGGAACTTGGTGGAGATGAAAAACTCATGTGTTTGTATATTTCGCTTTGTTTATACATTCATTGGAGAAGTATACATACATTGGAAAAGTTTGCATGTTTTTCTGAAGTCCCAGTCTATCTAGTCCCTTCATTGGTCGACCTGGAAAAGCAGTTGATAGGTCGAACGATGAACTTATACTTAAACTTCGAGACGCTCTCTTCATCACCACGTTAAAAACCTCCCCGAGAAAACCCAGTTGGGTCAAAATTCGGGTAAGGGAAAAAGAGTACGACTCGGAAGACGTCTATCCTTAGAAATTGAAGTATTTGAGGTGGACGACATTCCAATTATTTGGTAGTAATTTTCCTTCCATTGTTTCCAGCTGGAATGACCCTTTGCTCGCTGCCGCCGTGATTTTGTATGAGCTATCCCAATTGGTTCCCAGTTTGCCTTCTCGCATGTCTTTTCTTGCTTGTGTTTTGGCTTTGAGTACGTAGTCCCCCACATTGAGTGGCCTGATTTTGGCTTTTTTGTTGTAGAACCGCTCTGCCTGTTGTTTTTGAGCTATCATTCTTATGTAGGCCATGTCTCTTCGCTCTTCGGCTTTATCGAGGTCTTGCCTTCTGTTCTGGTCGTTGCTTGGCCCGCTTTCATTTGAGTATCTCAGACTGGGTTCCCCGACCTCAACTAGTATCATTGCATCAGTCCCATAGACTAGTGAGTGTGGTGTTTCACCTGTGCTAGTCTTTGGCGAGGTGCGATATGCCCATAACATTTCTGGTAGCACTTCCGGCCACAGTCCCTTGGCATTTTGGAGTTTCTTTTTCATGATATTCAATATTGTTTTGTTGGAGGATTCCGCTTGACCGTTGCCTGTGGGGTGATATGGCGTAGAGAGTATTCTTTTGATGTGCCATTTTTCGAAGAACTCGGCGGTATTTTTTCTAGTGAACTGGGAACCGTTGTCGCAGCTGATTTCTTTGGGGATGCCGAAGCGGCATATGATGTTTCTCCATATGAACATGATTACTTCTTGTTCGCGTATTTGGGCACAGAACTCGGTGTACTTGAGATCAGGGTACCATTAGTTGAAGATTCGGGCTTCAAACATTCCAAAGACGGCTTTCAAGACTCGCTATGGTCACTATGAGTTTTTGGTGATGTCTTTTGGGTTGACCAATGCCACAACAGCCTTTATGCACTTGATGAACAACGTGTTCCAGCCATATCTTGATTCCTTCCTTCATCATGTTCATATATGATATATTGGTGTACTCTCGCAGCTAGAAGGATCTGAGAGGCTCTTGAGGATCGTGCTCCAGGCTTTGAGAGAGAAGAAGTTATATTTTAAATTCTCCAAGAGCGAGGATCATGAGCAAAGTAAAGGCATGTATCAAGTGAAGCAATAAAGATGAAATAGTTGATAAGAAAATTTATTATAAAATAGTTGTATTTAATATGTTTCATTAATTTCAACGGACAACAACTTTCTATATTTTTTATATATTAAATTTATTTGTTATAAAATATTAATTCAATATTAGTTATTTTTAGACTTTATGTTGTCATTTATTAATTTCTTTCTAAGGGCAATACATACAATCATTTTATTTTTAAATCTCTAAAAGATCAACTATTCATTTTTTTTTAATTTTTGTGTTACTTGTTTATTTTAATCATAAAGTCATGCAACTAACAACAAATTTTATAACATAATCCCACAAAAAACTACAGAAATCACAATAAGGTATTTGAATTTTTTTTTTGACGCATGATTACTCTTTATTGAGCTAGCTAAATGGGATCAACATTAATCACTTTTATGAATTTATATTTTTAATTTAATTATTATTTTATAACTTAAATATATTATTTATAATATTTATATAATTTTCAAATTAATAATATACATTAATATAGGATACACACCCAAAACGACTACGTGGAGATTATTGATAAAAATAAAACCAAGCAAAATATCGTGTCAAGTGTCAACATAACAATCTTCTATTGAGAAAAATATCAGTATGCAAAACCCTAATTATAACTTATGAAATTGTCGCCGTTACACAAGTAGGGCTTACTTTTGCACTATAAAACCAAGGCTAAAGAAAATATCTCCTTCCCATTCTCTCTTTCGTTAAACCCTAAACTTCTCCTTAGGGTTTTGCAGTCTCCTTTTGCTGCTTTCCCCTTAATAAACCCTTTCCGTTCCTTTTTTGCACAATCAAAGGCTCGAAATGGGTAAATCTGCTAAGAAGTCCGCCACCAAGGTGACACTTGCATGCAATTTTTTTGCCTTTTTGTATTTATCTGTATAATTTTTGTTGATTTTTTTGGCGTTTCTTTTTTGGAGGTTGATGCTGCTGTAGTTGCTCCCACCAAACCCTTGAAGAAAGGTTTGATCTTTTTGCTTTTTTTTTTGTTTGTGGGTTTTAAGGTCTGAATGTTTTTGGTTCTTTTTGTTTGTGTGTTTTGAGGTTTGAGCTTGCTGGCTCTTGTTCTCTGTGGATTTAAGGTTTTCGTGAGGCTGTTTTTGGACATGACTTGGTTAATATTTGAAAAAGTAATATTTGATGTTAAATTCAAAAAGGTTATTTGGAACAGTTGTGTTTGGACATGGAAACAAGTTGAAGTTTTGATAGCGAACATTTCTGAGCAAACTTGAATAACACCTAAAAACCTGTTTTTCTGACCTAAAATTCTGTATTTCAAGTTTGATGTTGAAATATAATGGGCCAGTTTGATAAACAAACACTTATCTGTGTTGTGTGAGCATAAGAATGTTTTTTTTCCTGTTTCTTGGTAGAGGAGGAAATATTTGGTTGGTGGCTTGACTAATTTGTGTATGTGTTTACAGGGAAGAGGGAAGCTGAGGATGAAATTGAGAAGATAGTGAGTGCAAAGAAGCAGAAGAAAAATGTGGCTGTAGCACAAACTCTTGAGAAAAAAAAGAGTGATCCAAAGACTCAAAAGAAAAAGAAACAAGAAAGCAGCTCCTCTGACGATAGTTCTGAGTCAGAAGATGAGAAGGTAATACACACACATGATTGATTTTTTACCTGTAATTGTAAAGTCTGTCTAAATGGCAAGTGGATTTTATGTAGTGGTAGTTCATGACTTGGGTCTTTTGTTAGCTTGCAGCGTCTAGCAGAATTTTGATTTACATAATATATCTGTTGATGCCATCTACATATGCAATAATTATTGATTCTATTTTCTTATTTTGTTATGCAGCCTACTAAAGCAGTGGCGCCTCCTAAGAAAGTGGCTCCTGCCAAAAATGGGGAATTAGCCAGCAGTTCAGATGATTCAGATTCTTCCGAGGATGAAGTAAGTTACCCTCTTAGCAGTAATTCTCAATAATATTTTGGCTAATGTTTTAACTGTTCTTCTGTTGGTGTTGTTGTGTATAGGCTCCTCCTCCTAAGAAGGTTGTTGCAGCTTCAGCTAAGAATGGTGTAGCTGCTAAGAAGAAAGATGAGTCAAGTGATGATTCTAGTTCAGAGGATGATAGCAGCTCTGAGGAAGATGTACCTGCAGCCAAGAAACCTGCTGCTAATGGCTCTGCTGCAGTTTCTAAGAAAGATGAGTCAAGTGATGATTCTAGTTCAGAGGATGATAGCAGCTCTGAGGAAGATGTACCTGCAGCCAAGAAACCTGCTGCTAATGGCTCTGCTGCAGTTTCTAAGAAAGATGAGTCAAGTGATCAGTCTAGTTCTGAGGATGATAGCAGCTCTGAGGATGATGCTGTTGCTAAGAAGGCTGCACCTAAAAAGGGTCTTGCTACTGCCGCCAAGAAGGAAGAATCCAGTGATGACTCCAGTTCAGATGATGATGTAAGGGCATTGTTAAGTGGCTTATGCAAATATTGCTTTGTTGTTTTAATAGTATTACTCCTTGTTGATATAATTGATTTTCTTTTTGACAGGAACCTGCCTCTAAGGTAGCTGCTGCTCAACCAGCAAAAGCTCCTCAAGCTGCGAAGAAGACTGGTGACAGCTCCGAAGAAACCGACTCTGATGAAGATGATTCTGATTCTGATGCAGACAAGGTTTGACCACTTGATATTTGTTTTTTGTTTTTGTTATTTTTGTCCTCTAGCCATTTCATTAAATCCATCATTACATAAGTGAGCATCTTGCTTGCTTGTTGATTATGTTATCTGTTTTTGCTTGCTTTTGCAAGGTTGTCTGATATTATTTTCTTTCTTTAGGGAAAGGCTGCTGCTGTATCTAAAAAGAAGGTTGAGTCTAGCAGCGACAGCTCTGATGACGAATCTGAAGAAAGTGATGAAGAAGAGTCGCAAAAAAAAAGGATCAAGGTCTTGATATGTTTCTTTTGTAATATTCCAACTTATTTCATCTTAGTTCATCGTCTAACAATTGTGTTTCACAGCCCTCTAGCACTCCAGCTGTCTCCAAGAAGGAGAGTAGTTCTGAGGAATCTTCTGAGGAAGACGAGTCTGAAGAAGAAGAGGATGAGAAACCATCCAAAACTCCCAAGAAGGTAAAATATGTTCTTATCTTTAGTTGATCAGCATATTCCTTTTGGCATAAGTAGATGAATTACATCTTTTCCTGCAGCTTTCAAATTAGTCACAACATGGTTCTTCCACTTGGATTAGCTGTATTATTTCCCCCCTTTGTTGTACTGCTGTTTACCCTAACTTGGCAGTTATCATCATGTTATTGAAGATTTTAATTTATAATTAATCAAGTTAATTCATGCCATAATGAGAGGATTTTCTTGCTAAAGCAGGATGCTGATGTAGAAATGGTTGATGCTGATTCCTCTAAAGCTGTAAGTGAAGCTTTAAAAAATTATATTTCTTGATTGTTAGCATTAGAAAATTATATTTGCGTTTTGTACAATTCTTGAACTGCTGTCTGTTCAAAATGCAGCAAAAGACCCCTATTACCCCTAAAGCTCAGACTCCAGGGACAAAAACATTGTTTGTTGGAAATCTATCCTATTCTGTTGAACAGGCCGATGTGTAAGTTACTATTTAACTTTTTCCGGTGCTTTGTTTGTGTGATAATATCTCGAGTTATAAGAAGGCATTTGCAGGGAGAATTTCTTCAAAGATGCTGGGGAAGTTCAGGAAGTGCGCTTTTCTACACATGAAGATGGTTCTTTTAAGGGCTATGGTCATGTTGAATTTGTAACTGCTGAAGCTGCACATAAGGTAGCATTTTTTTTTATTTTTATCTTGTCAAAAAGAAAAAAAGAGAAATTTAAAGGTTGCTTCTTTTCAATCCTTAAACATGAATCTTTTCTACAGTTACAATAGATGCATGCAATATAAATCCTACTTCAAACATATTGTAGAGCAATGTCTTTCATATATAAGGTAGTCAATTAAGGTAGTCATGCAGCCTGAGGCATTAATTGCGGCAATTTCCTAGTTTCTTCTGAGCTCTGCACACAGTATGTTTACTGTATACAAAAGTAGACACTGTCTATTACAAACATTGACCTGGTTAGTTTTCTTTAGTCCCCTGGATGGAATGCTATAATCTGTTGTATCCATTTTAGGCACTTGAACTAAATGGACAAGACCTCTTGGGCCGTGCTGTGAGATTAGACCTGGCTCGAGAGAGGGGAGAATATACACCACGAACTGGGTATGCAATCTCTCTCACCTTATTGTTTCCATTTATGATGAAAGTAGACACATCATTTCAAGTACGTGTTATCTTATGGTTTGTAGGAGAGAAGAAAACTCATTCCAGAGGCAAGGTAGAAGTGAAGGAACAACAATTTTTGTTAGGGGTTTTGACAAAAATGAGGCCGAAGACCAGGTCTTTGTCCTATATATATTTTTTTCTCTCCATTATTTTTGACACTTCACTTTGATGTCTTAAGATGGTCTAAATATTTCAAATACAATTTCAGATTAGGAGTTCACTTGAGGAGCATTTTGCATCTTGTGGGAAGATCTTTAAAACAAGAATTCCTACAGACCCAGAAGGCTATATTAAAGGGTGAATATTTCTCATTTTTATGTTCTTGTTTTCTCAATTTTGCGTTGTCTGAAATAATTTGTAGGTTAAGAGGCATTTGTTCTGTTTTGTACTGACGACTTTGTAAATTTGGCCTTCTCTTGCAGGATGGCTTATATTGAGTTTGCAAATGGTGATGGTGATACTTTGAACAAAGCTCTGGAACTAGATGGATCAGAAGTTGGAGGTTATAACTTGACAGTGCAAGAGGCAAAGCCAAGGGGTGACAGTTCTGGTGGAGGCAGAGGTTTTGGTGGTAGAAGTGGTGGTAGGGGAGGTGGTAGAGATAGTGGTGGCCGCTTTGGTGGCCGCTTTGGTGGCCGCGGTGGTGGACGCTTTGGTAGTGGTGGCCGTAGTGGTGGTGGCGGCGGCCGTTTCGGTGGTGGTGGCCGTTTTGGTGGTGGAGGCAGAGGACGGGGAACTCCCAACAGGCCAAGCTTCACTCCATCTGGTAATGTCATACTTAATATAAATTTTACTGTCTCAATTAAGTGTTAACAAAATGCCAGACCTCTCCCCCTCACCCTGTAGTAGAACATTTTGGTACACTACTGCACTAAATCTCAAACAATTGTTGGTTGGCTATAGGAATTCTCTTCATTTAATCTTATTAGGCCCTAAAAGAACAGAATAATGGCTCCAAAAATCTCTGTTGGGTCAAAATGTGTTTTGTTTTTCAAGTCAATTTCTCTTTTAATCCTCCAGTCTCATTGTTTTCTTGGCTAATTCTTTTTTACATTCTGGTAATTGCAGGTAAGAAGACAACCTTTAATGATGAGTAATTTCAAGTTCGGACTCTGGGGCCGACTTATCAACTTATCTCTCCTTAATATCGTCGACTTAGTTTTGGTTTTGAATATTATAAATTTGGGAGTTAAGCAAGAACTTCGGAATGTAGTAGTTAGTATAAGATTCAGTATAATTTTGTTTCCTTAAATTATTGCGTCATTTAAACCATTCTTTTTTGGGTGGAAAGTGAGTTCTTCATTGTTCATATTCAGTGGTTGGTACCAGACATCAGACCAAACAACCTTATATTCTGCTACCTATATTTGCTGTGAGAAGTTACTTTTATTCAGTTGGCCTTTTTAATTCCTTACCCCTTATTGACAAGAGAATTGAATACAAAAATGATGCGTACGCGGATAATAATGCTGATGATTATGTAGATGATTTCGTATGAAGTCGGGTGAGATTGTAATACCGAACTAAGCAAAAACGGGATTGATCCCCGTATGATTCTGATCTAATTTTTTTAAATTGCATCTGTTAAACTCTAATTATTAATATAACTAATCAGATTTCAATTGTTAGATATTGATTCTTTTTCTGTGAGTAATTATTAAACAGTAATTTTAAATTTTTCTAACTACTTTTGCCCTAATCAATTCATGTCGCATAACATGCAATCAAACATTCGACTGTCAACACAATGCCCAAATTGATGCCCAGTACTGGCAGACCTAAACGACACCAAAATACAAACTAGAACGAAGCAATACGAAGGTCTTAAGAGCATACACAATTAGAAAAAAAAAAAAAAAAACTAATACACAAGCATCTTATGAGTATTTTTAATGAGAAGCGTTTATTTGGAAAATCATTTCCTTGAACTCCTTTTCACAAAATTATTTCACAAATGGTAATTGTACAATGTGGAGTATCGGCTATGGCCTATGAGTATGCAAGGTTTCCAACCACTCAAACAACTAGCAAATGATATGGAGTAGGAGATATTTGTGTAAGAAAATAACTTTTGTCTACGTGTTGGAAATAATTTACCCTTTTAGTTTAAAATTTTCTTTAAGGGAGTATGTTTAACACATTCAATGTTCTGAAAGCTGATTTCACCAAGAAAAATAATATTTTTAACAACAATTATTTCTACCTAGAGAGAATGTTTCTGGTAGATTCTCGTCTCAGATGAAGCATAGTCACATCACTTTTAGAAAAGAAAACAATAATGCACAAATTATGGAAAGGCTATAGTAACATGACGTATTACCAACACTAGCAGGATAATAAAAAAACTGAAGTAAAAGAAATATTGGTAATAATACAGGTCTAGGTATATAAAAAATATGAGAATACTATTAATCCTACAAGTAAGAGAAGGATACGCTCACAACTACCTATTAGCCTTCTACCTTTAATTTTCGATCTCCATACCTTCCTATCAAGGGCATTCTCTGTAAGCGGAAGATGTTTCATAACTTACCTTATCACCTCTCCCTAATATTTTTTAGGCATGTCTTTTCCCCTCCTCAGACCCACCATGACTAACCTCTCACACCTACTCACTAGGGCATCTGGGCATCTCCTTTTTAAATACCCGAACCATCTCAGCCTCGCATTCCGCAACTTTTATACCACGGGGGCCACTCCCACATTATCACGAATATCTTCGTTCCTGATCTTATCTTTCTTAGTATGTCAACACATCCATCTCAACATCCTCATCTTCGTTACCTGCAACTTCTGGACAGGAGAGTTTTTGACTGGCGAACACTCCGCTTCATACATCATATTTGACCTAACAACCACTCTATAAAAATTACCTTTAAGTCTCGATGGCATGTTCTTATCACATAGAACACCGGAAGCGAGCCTTCATTTCATCCATCTCACCCCAATACAATGAATGACAACCTCGTCAATCTCCATATTACCTTGGATTATAGACCTAAGATACATGAAACTCTCTCTTCAAAATGACTTGTGTATCAAGCCGCACTTCCACGTCTGTTTCATGAGTTACACCACTGAAACTGCACTCCAGTTACTCTGTCTTTGTCATGCTTAGCCTGAAACCCTTAGACTCCCAGGTTTGTCTCCAGACCTCCATCCTAGTGTTAATATCGCTCTTCGTCTCGTCAATTCATCCATTACCAAGAATGGACCCTACAACATGTACCTCTAGAGCAGGTAACCCTACACTGGTTCAAAGAATGAACCCTACAACATGTACCTAGAGAGCAGAACAGTGAGACCGATGCCCTTGCAAATTTGGGGTCATCAGTCAAAAATGATAAAATTAGCTCCGGGACTGTCATACAACTTTCAAAGTCGGTAGTCGAAGAAGGCCATGCCGAAATAAATTCCATAAGCCTAACTTAGGATTGGAGGAACAAATATATCGATTATCTAAAGAATGGGAAGCTTCCGTCGGACCCTAAGGAATCGAGGACTCTGCTAACGAAAGCTGCACGATTCACATTGGCCGGAGATAGAACATTGCACAAAAGGATGTTCGATGGGCCGTTGGCAACATGTTTAGGTTTGGGAGACACCAACTACGTCCTACGAGAAATTCACGAGGGTACTTGCGGGAACCATTCCGGTGCCGAATCACTGGTTCACAAAGTCATCAGAGCAGGGTACTATTGGGAGAATATGGAAAAAGATACTAAGGAGTTCGTACAAAAATGCGACGAATGCCAAAGACATGCACCGATGATCCACCAGCCCGGGGAGCAACTTCATTCAGTCCTATCCCTATGGCCGTTCATGAAATTGGGAATGGATATCGTCGGTCCTCTGCTATCGGCCCCAGGTAAAGCTAAGTTCATTTTATTTATGACTGATTATTTCTCTAAGTGGGTCGAAGCCCAGGCTTTCGAGAAAGTCAGAGAGAAAGAAATTATAGACTTCATCTAGGATCACATCATATGCCGATTCGGGATACCTGATATGCTCAAATTACACTTTAATTAAATAGTGTAAGGCGGTCAGTGTCGAATATAGCAACCCAACAAGGTTGGGGTCGAATCCCACATGAAATAGGCGTGAAAAGGTTATTCGAGTAGTGTGTTACTTGACTTAGGTTGTTGTTCTCTTCCGTTAGTCGTAACAAGAGAATGATACGATTATGAATTAAAAAGATAACTAATTGTAACTTTGAGAGTGTAAATGATTTGATTAAAGAGACTAAGGTTGCGTTCCCATTAACGGAATGTAATGCTATCGATGTTAATATGATATATTTCTAATGGAAGGTCCTTTGATATGCAAATGATTTCTAAATGACTACCCAATACTTTCCAATAGTTGAGTAGTATTTTCCCTTTATGATTTTTCCAAATATAAAAGAGTTGCAAATTAAGAACAACCAATTTATGCCAAATAGAACCCATTTATTCCTAAGCGATTCTATTAAACAAGAATTAACATCTTGAGTTCTTGATATTCAATCCTACCAAACCCTAACACACTTTTCCAAGTAAAGAAAGAGTAAAATGGAATAGATTAATGTTTGCAACTACCAACCATAAATAAAGAACAAGAATTGAATAAATATCAACCAACCATTATATATATATTCAATGTTAAACACCCATTAACATTACACCCATCTAGGGTCCACAACCTTAGTATTTAAAACTAGCTACTCATACTAAAATACAAGAACAAAGTATTTAATAAATCCATAAAGCTTACAAAAGTGCAAGATTCCTTCTTCACAAACCTCCAAATAAATGGAGTATTCAATGCTCTCTAAGTAGGACCTTGTTTCAGACTTCAATACCCCACAAAACCCCAGTTATTCTCTTTATAGTGGACCAAAAGTTGTAGTCAAAATTGGACAAAAATACCCCTTCAGATGACTTATGCGATCGCATACTGGTCGCAGACCAGTTATGTGGACCGCATATTGAACATTCCATCGCATCCTTGCTGAGTTCTAGATCTAGCTTCCATCGCATAGCAGTTATGCGGACCGCATACATCTTATGCGATTGCATATCCCGCCGCATATCATGTTGAGGTCTGTCTTCTTCTTGAGTTCTGCGACCATTATGCGGCTCACATAGGTGTTATGCGACCGCATAATGGACCGCATATTTGCTTCTTCAGTTGGCCCAAAAGACTGTCTTTGTTTGCAATCAACAGGGCAATTATGCGGCCCCGTATGTGAGTTATGCGACCACATACTTGTAGCATATCCGTCTTTTTGTGACTTTTGACTTCTTTTCCATGTTTTCGGGTATTCAAGCTCATGCACTATAAAACAACCAAACTTGATCAGAATTAACTACAAATGCATTAAAAGAAAAGTTAAAATCTAAGTAATTGGTATCAATTTTGCTGAAATTCCACGACACATCAACACCCCCAACTTAGACTCTTGATTGCCCTCAAGCAACTAAAACAAAACTATCCTATTCTATACTACTTTTATTTTTGAAAATCCACAAAACAGTAGTAACTATTTTGACTGACAGCTAACAAGCATGTGAACCCATTTATTTACCCTTCCTGAAAAACAACTTATCATTCAATCATTCAACTAATCAATTCGTGACCTTAGAGACCAAAATAACAAAATGCTATTCACAGTGAAGTGCACTTGTGTTCTACTTCAAGAACCTATCTTTTGCTAAGTCTTACAATTCATGTGCACTCACAACAAAGAAAATCCCCACTCACTCACACACACACACACATACACACACACACACACACACACACACACACATATATATATATAGGGGATGCAATCAAAACACTCTAACACTCGGAACGAAAGCTACATGCTACAAGTATCAGTCCATATGCTTGCCCTTATTTTAACTTTGCCGCTATCTCAGGAATGATTGACCATAGATCACTAAGGACTTTTCACGGGTTATAATGTAGGCTTTGGGACGGGTTGGATGACTATTTAGGAATGTAGTAGTTATACCCTCCTTGAACTCTACATATATTATGCTCTTTTACTACATAGCCTTTATTTCCTCGGGTTACCGACCTAGAACCACCTCAAAGTATTTCTTCAAGTTTTGACAAGACTCCTCTCTTTTTCTCTTCTTTTATTTTTCTTTTCTTTTTGGAGCTTGCATTTCATTTTGTACACAACTTTGAGGTTATTGCTTCTTTTTATTTTATTTTATATACACACAGTAGCAAACCTTTCCAATTTTCACTTTATAATGGCACCCCCAACTTAGGCTTTAAGCCTCAATCTCATACATTCAAGGAGGTATGGGTTCAAAAGAAGGAATTACTTCATAGAAAGGGTAAAGGTTTGTAACGTGGTAGCCAATGAAAGGTTAAAGGCTCAAAGGGGGTAACTAGGGT